AAAAAAAAAAAAAGAAAGAAAAACAATTCAAAAGTTCAAATACGACTAAAACAGGATTTAGTGTCGGCCAACGGTCGAGCGGCTCTCGGCACTTGAAATCTACCCACATTCCCCCTTTTTCTTTTTTCAAATTCGCCGGAGAAAGATCTGTCATCCTCGCTAGGGATTAAGCGCCTCTCGGCCGGCAATTAACTGCAGTTGGAACTTCGCTCTTGTGATTCCTTAAATCTGGTAATTTCCCTCTTTCGATATTTAAGAATTTTATACTCCAAGATGATTGTCCTGTATCGAAATCCGTCATCCGCATTTGAAATTATGAAGATGGAAAGTTGATAAACTGTGTTTTAGCGTATATTCTGGTACAAGCTTATCGATAACAATGCCAATTTCGTTTGTGTGTGTGTGCGTGTGTGTGTGTGTGTGTGTGTGTGTGTGTGTGTGTTGTGTCGGTAGTTTTGCGGAGAAACTATTTCGAATGTGTTCGTATGATGGTTTTACTTTCACGATTTCGAATTTCCTCAGCACATTTGATCTTTTGAACCCTAATTTTTCTCCTCGAATATTTGTATTTTTCATTACCTTAATCATTGACTTTTACTGATGCATGTTGAATTTTGTTGCTTTCCTCATCCACAGGTTTAGAAACTATGGGCGTCGAGAATTATCAAGTCATAGAGCTTGTGGGCGAGGGGTCGTTTGGGAAAGTGTACAAAGGACGGCGCAAGTTCTCTACCCAGGTGCGCTTGCTCAGTTCACTTACCATTTTTCCTTCTATTTTTTTGGGATGTGTCTTGTTCTAAGTAGTTTTAATTCTTGAGAAATACAGACAGTCGCCATGAAGTTTATTCCAAAGCATGGGAAAAGCGAGAAGGATATTCTCAACTTAAGACAGGAAATAGAGGTATATGGTTGAATTATTTATATTAATCCTGGGCTCCACTAGCTGTAATGTGATAGCGATTTCAATGTATTTCATTTTCTTTGCTTCAAATTTATGATTATTGATTGTTGGTTGTAAATATGTTGATGCTAAATGTTATAGCTGGGTTTGTAACAGTTTGGACGGTAATTTTTAGTTCAAAACTACTGCTGATTCTAAGATAAAAGAATTATGGACTTAGGTGCATTTTATAAATAATGCCTATTCCTGGTGTGAGTTTCATTTGAAACTCAACTTAGCTTGCTGCATCCATAAAATTGGTGATTATGCGATGAGGTATTCAAGACTTTCTTCTGGCCGGTTTTTGCATAAGCTGGCTATATGTCGTTGTACATTGATTTTGAGATAGTGGTGTATGATACAAAAGATGTTTACATATTTTACTAAGCATGAGAAATATCTTTCTTTGAAGTATTGTGATCAGGCTTTTATCTTCATGGTAGGAATACTTGAAACAATTATTTGTTGAAGTTCAGTTATTAGATGTAGAAAACTGAATATAATTTGGTCACTCTTTTAGGCTCACATGGTTGATGGTTTTTTAGGTTTACTTGCATAATGCATGAATTTTGATGCAGCCAAGTATCAGTTTATCTATCGCTTCACACATTTGTTGGCATGAACTAAGAAATCTGTATGAAGTATCGTGATTTTATTAGTTTCTTAGACCCTGATGTTTAGAGATATTATGTTTGGCTATATATTATTGTGAGCTGCTCTTATTTTATATTTTATTTGTTCAAAAGATTCATCATTTGTTCCAGCAATCAAGCAAGACTTATCAACAGATCTTTTCTATTTTATGCACAACCATTCTTATCTAAGTAGATAATGTATATACTACCCTCTTTTTCGCTGTTCTTGCATTGTCCTTTTTTCCTTCTCCTTTCCTGTTATGCACTCTTCATGATTACACTTACAAATAGATTGTTGGGTGCTGCTGGGTTACTGCAGATTCTAAGAAAATTGAAGCATGAAAACATTATAGCTATGCTGGACTCATTCGAGAGCCCACAGGAGTTCTGTGTTGTTACAGAATTTGCACAAGTAATAATCAGTTATTTCTTTGACTATGAAATATGTATTCATTCTTCTAAAAGCACAATGTGACCTGAGATATTTGATGTACATATACTTTACCCACTTGTGGAGCAAACCATGAACATTCTATGAGATTATCATTGCAGGGTGAGCTTTTTGAAATTCTTGAGGATGACAAGTGTCTTCCTGAGGAACAAGTTCAAGCAATTGCAAAACAACTGGTAATTCATTTTCTACATCTTTTTCTCATTGTCTAGGAAGTTATGTTCAGTCAGCTGAAAATCTAATACTTCAACCATATTTCATATAAGTTATAGGTAGAGTTCTAAACCTAATGTTCAATAGTGGTTTTAATTTGTTGGTGATACTTCTGCAGGTGAAAGCATTGCATTATCTCCACTCAAACCGTATAATTCATCGCGACATGAAACCACAAAATATCCTTATTGGTGCTGGATCTGTTGTTAAGGTTGTAAGCTTACTAGCTGTTATGTTTTCCATTTTTCACAACTGTTTATACTTAGCATGTCAGATTCAAAGTAGATCTTTGAGAATAATATTGAGAAAGTACAATATAGTTTCTGCTATTCACTCATTAGCAGCCCTCCCAAGTCAATTTGTGTTCTATTACTTGCAATTGAGGAAAAAACGAACAGACATCCATGTTTCATGCATTGATCTCTCTTTTGTTTGTTAAACAGCTCTGTGATTTTGGTTTTGCTCGAGCAATGTCTGCAAACACAGTTGTCTTACGGTCAATAAAAGGTAGCACTGTTCTTTGTAGACACTACTCCTGTTGCTTTGCTGTTACCAGCAGTCACAAATGGCTGCTTCTTAGACTGTCTCTGACTTTTGGTTTACAATTTTCTATCAGGAACTCCCTTATACATGGCCCCAGAATTAGTAAGAGAACAGCCATACAACCACACAGCTGATCTCTGGTCTCTTGGTGTTATTTTGTATGGAATCCATCCTTTTCTTTGTTTTTCGTCAAAAAGCTGTCTAATTTCTAGTTCCTGTGTTTTTATTCCTTGGAAAAAAAGGAGTATAGGCTTCGTCGCTTGAGAATACCAGCCCTAGAAAGTGATTTAGTTACGTGATATTGATGTCCATGGTTCTAAGCTGAGATCTCATCATCTTCAAAATCAGTTAGTAACATTTACCATGCAACAAAGTGCACTGGCCATAACTGGCTTTATTATCCACTTAATGCATCCACATGTATTATTTGGGTAAAATACTAGTACCAACAATATGGATGGAGTGCAATGAAGATGACCAGCTCTCACAATTGCACATTCTTCTGCACTTAAGTGCCACTATGGCAAGTGAATAGTGCTTATTCTTAGGTTCATGAAATTGTGTGATGACATTGATTGCGTTTTTCTTCTTGAATGTGCTCTTCTGGTGTAATATGAGCTTTTTCAGGCTAACATGCAATTCATCTAGATTAACTGAAAAAGGATTGATCAGCCGTGGTCTACTGCTGTCTACTATTTCTATCATATGATTTATTTCTCCCTTTTCCTGTTAATACTGAAAATTTTGGATGACTAATACAGGTATGAACTCTTTGTTGGTCAGCCTCCGTTTTATACAAATTCGGTGTATGCACTTATCAGACATATCATTAAGGTACCATGTTGTTTTACCTCCCAAGCGTTCATATGACAGAGAATGGGCTTACAACTGGTTTCATGCTATCATTTCAGGATCCAGTTAAATATCCAAACAATATGAGCTCGAATTTTAAAAGTTTCTTACACGGTTTGCTGAATAAGGTAGTGTTTATAAAAGTTGGTATCAGTGCCATAAGTCTACCTTGTTCTTCATCAATCTGATATGTACTTGCTGTCTTGTGAATAGGTTCCTCAAAATAGACTGACGTGGCCTGCTCTTCTTGAACATCCTTTTGTTAAAGAAACTCCGGCCGAAATTGAAGTGAGTGCTGACATTTGGTAGCATGAAGTTCGGCTTTAAAGTTTTGGTCTTGGACCTGCTTTAATATTATCCAGGCAATCATTAATTTGATTAACAATAAATAGCAGGAACCTCCTGCTATGGCAAAAGCATCTCCAAGGGACTTTGATGCTTCTTTAAGGCAAGAAAGAAATGTTCAAAACCCTAGTGGATGTATTATTTCAAGCCCAGATAGTAAGTCTTCACTTGCTCTTTAAAATCTACAAGGGATTTTGCATGTACATGGCGTCATTCCTCAATTAGTCTGAAAAAACATTTCGTAGATCTAACTGTAAGGGCATGTGTGTTGTAGATAGAAGTTCTACTGGTGCTAGTGAAAATAGGACAACCCCCTCCTCTCCAGTTGATATGCATCCTAATGGGGCTAACTCTGCAGTTGAGAATGCTTCGCCAAGGGAGGAGTTTCCAGGTTTTCCAAGTCAGGGCGGTGTTATGCAGTCCGGTAAAACAAAAATTCTTTTTTTATGGTTATTTTCATTTTCTTTAAAGTTCAGGTTAGCTGATCGAAGTATTAATATAATTTGCTGAATTCAAGTGGTACATGTACCCAAACAAAGGGAAAGTATTCAGGAAATTAAGCTACCTGTGGAAAGTTAGCTAAAAAAAAAACTTGTACAAATCGGTGCAAAAAGTATTTTAAAAAATCTGCTATCAGTGATTTAGGAATCTTAATCTCTTGCTTGATCTCCTACATATGATAAAGACATGTTGTGGTGATAGCATTTCACATTTTTATTTGTGCTCAAACTTTTTCCCAGCTTCGATAGAGGGAACTTCTTAAATTTCATTTGTAACTTATGGTGTACACTCCTGAACAACAGTCTACCTTTCTGAAAACATGAGTCTATTTTAAGTTTATGAGCTTCTGAACTTTTTATCCTCTATATAATTGTAAGAAATATAAAGAAATATAATCTGATGTTTCCTTGTTGTTTCCTTGCAATTTCATTACACTTTCCTTGCAGCTGCAAAGCACTTTCATAGCAGCCATTTTAGGATGATTTTTAGGACTTTTCAACTTAAGTAATTTCTAGGAAAGTCACTAGATAGTTGTTTTTAGTTCTTATAAATAGGGGTGCAGTTTTTGTTTTGTAAACACACAAAAAAACTTAATACTCAATACATTGAGTTGTTCACAATCTTCTTCTTTCATTCTAAAAGTGTTCATTTGTGCCAAAAGCATTTTTGCATACCTGAGCAGTGAACAAGCAGGGACTAACAAGTGGCATCAGAGCCATGGCAAGCCAAGATGTTGCATCGATGGTGCAAGGGAGTGGAGCAGATGCTTCACCGCGCCAGGAGGTCATCATCCACAGGACCGTGCGAGACGTTGGCGGGGCCAACTGGCCGGTCCTCACACGCACAAACTACGGCGAGTGGGCGGTGCTGATGAAGGTCAAGTTGCGTGCGCGCAAGCTTTGGCGGGCCATCGAGGAAGGCACCGAGGATGAAGAAGAGGACTGCGCAGCGATGGAAGCGATTCTGTCCGCTGTGCCTCACGAGTACGTGGAGTCGCTGGGCGCAAAGGACTCCGCAAAGGCTGCTTGGGCGCCCTCAAGGCCATGCGCATCGGGTCTGATCGCGCAAAGAAGGCGAAGGCGCATCAGCTGCGGCGGGAGTACGAAGCGCTGGCATTCCACGACGGCGAGGCAGTGGAGTATTTCTCGCTCCGTTTGCAGTCGCTCGTTAGTCAGCTGGCGGCGCACGACGTCACCATCACCGACGAGGAGGCGGTCGCGAAATACTTGCGCGTCGTGCCACCTAAGTATGCCAGATCGCGCTCTCAATCGAGACGTTGATCGACATGTCCACCCTCACGATTGAGGATGTGACTGGGCGCTTGCGGGCAGTGGATGACCGCGTGGAGCGGCGACGATAACTACCAGCGGCAAGTTACTACTGACCGAGGAAGAATGGGCAGCTCGTATGCGCGAGCGGCGACCCGGGGAAGGCTCCTCTAACCGTGGCGGCTACGGCAAGCACCGTGGCAAGGCCCCGCAGAAGAAGAAGGATGGCAACAACGCACGTCCGATCGATAAGGACACTTGTCGACGCTGCGGGAAGACAGGGCACTGGGCCCGGGATTGCAAGAATCCTAAGAAGGAGAAGAGGGAGGCGCACCTCGCGCAGGTGGACGACGAGGAGCCAGCTCTTCTCATGGCAACGACCTGCAAGTTGCACGACGTCGAGCCAGAGTTGGAGGAAGTCAAGGCGGCGGCTACAGAGCAAGGGAAGGCACTGCAGGCCGTTCACCTCGACGAGTCAAGTGCCCAAGTCCACCTTGGACGAATGGGCAGTGGCATGGAGCAGAGGTGGTACCTGAACTCCGGCGCCAGCAACCACATGACCGGCTCCAAGGAGGCCTTCTCCGAGCTTGATGACGGCGTGACGGGGACGGTGAAGTTCGGCGACGGCTCGAAGGTGGAAATTCGAGGTCGCGGCAATGTCATCTTCCGGTGCCAAAACGGCGAGTACCGCGCATTGACGGAATCCCGCAGTTGCGTTCAAGCATCATCAGCATCGGGCAATTGGACGAGCACGGCTGCGAGGTGCTTGTCAAAGGCGGCGTGCTAAAGCTCCAGGACCGGGAACAGCGACTGCTGGCTAAGGTCCAACGTTCTCGGAACTGCCTCTACCTCCTCGACTTGAAAGTGGAGCAACCTGTGTGCTTGGCGGTACGGCACACTGAGGAGCCATGGCTATGGCATGCTCGATTCGGCCATTTGAGCTTCGACGCACTCGGTCGGCTGAGGAAGATGGTGCGCGGGCTCCCGCACATAGAGCACGTAGGCGAGCTGTGCGATAGCTGCCTGGCAGGGAAGCAGAGGCGGCTGCCTTTTCCAAAGGCGGCCAAGTATCGTGCGGCGGACGTCCTCGAGCTCGTCCACGGCGACCTCTGCGGGCCGATCACGCCGGCTACGCATGGCGGACGACGCTACTTCCTGCTGCTCGTGGACGACTGTAGCCGTTTCATGTGGCTGCAGCTCCTGATGAGTAAGGATCAGGCTGCGGAGGCAATCAAGCGATTCCAGGCGCGGGCTGAGGCAGAGTCTGGAAAGCGGCTGCGCGTGCTGAGGACGGATCGCGGTGGCGAGTTCACATCGGTGGAGTTCGCCGCGTATTGTGCAAACCATGGGGTAGTGCGCCATCACACTGCGCCGTACTCACCGCAACAGAACGGCGTAGTGGAGCGGCGGAATCAGACCGTGGTGGGCATGGCCCGAAGTATGATGAAGGCAAAGGGCATGCCAGCGGAGTTCTGGGGAGAGGCCGTGAGCACGACGGTGTTCATCCTCAACCGTGCGCCCACGAAGGCCCTGAAGGGCATGACACCATTCGAAGCTTGGCATGGCAGGCAGCCCGACGTCTCGTTTCTGAGGACCTTCGGGTGTATTGGCCATGTGAAGAAGACGAAGCCCTTCCTGTCCAAGCTTGAGGATAGGAGCATACCGATGGTGCTCCTAGGCTACGAGGAGGGGAGCAAGGCCTATCGGCTCTACGATCCACGTGGAGGCAAGGTGGTGGTCTCGCGGGATGTGGTGTTCGATGAAATGGCGGCCTGGGATTGGGAGAATCCTGGCACGGGGGAAGCCCGTGGCATCGGCGGTACGTTTGTCATCGAGCATTTGGTGATCCACGGAGGAGGAGATGCATGATCAGAGGAGCCAGCTGCGGACGCGCCAAGTCCAGCAACTGTGGTTGCAGTTGAGCCGCAAAGTCCGGCCATGGGCACGGGCGAAGAGTCTCCACCAGCAGCTGCGCACACACCCCCACCACAGTCCCCTGCTGCGGCAGGACAGGGGACACCTCCAGCGACGACAGTTGAGTTCACCTCTCCTCCAAGCAACATCGACGAGTATGTGGATGCCTTCCACGATGGTGAGGAAGTGAGGTTTCGCAGGATGGACAACCTCGTTGGCAACTCGGTTGTACCAGGTTTGGCGAGCCGATTACTCGACGATCAGGAGCTACTCCTCGTCAGCGCACAGGAGCCATCGACTTTTGCGCTGGCCGAGCGCGATGTCAGTTGGAGACGAGCTATGCTAGAGGAGATGAAGGCGATCGAGGAAAATGAGACGTGGGAGCTCGTCGATCCACCTCCAGGCTGTCATCCAATCGGGCTCAAATGGATCTACAAGGTCAAGCGGGACGAGAGTGGCGCTATAGTCAAGCATAAGGTGCGCCTCGTTGCTCGGGGGTTCGTCCAGCGTGAGGGTATCGACTTTGAGGAAGTTTTTGCACCAGTAGCGCGCATGGAGTCAGTTCGCCTACTGCTGGCCATGGCAGCAGCGAAGGTCTGGCGCATTCATCACCTGGACGTGAAATCGGCCTTCCTCAACGGTGAGCTAGCGGAGACTGTCTTCGTCAAGCAAGTGTCGGGCTTCGCCGTCAAGGGAGAGGAGCACAAGGTGTTGCGTCTGCGGAAGGCACTCTATGGGCTGCGTCAAGCCCCACGAGCGTGGAACGCCAAACTCGATGCCACCCTGGGTACGCTTGGGTTCACGCGCTGCGCGACAGAATACGCGCTCTACACGCGACGACGGGGGAAGGAAGAGCTCATCATCGGCGTGTATGTGGATGACTTGATCATCACTGGGGCAAGAGAAGAGGACATCAACTGCTTCAAGCGCGAGATGGCAGCTCGTTTCCGCATGAGCGATCTCGGGCAGCTCTCCTACTACCTCGGCATCGAGGTGAAGCAGGGGAGAGACTCCATCACTCTCTGCCAGCGTGCATATGCGGGGAAGCTGTTGGAGCGGAGCGGCATGGCTGACTGCAAGTCATGCATGACTCCGATGGAGGAGAGGCTGAAGCTGACGAAAGCCAGCACCGCGGGGAAGGTAGATGCAACACTCTACCGGAGTATCGTCGGCGGGTTGCGCTACCTAGTCCACACGAGGCCAGATATCGCATTCGCCGTGGGCTATGTCAGTCGCTTCATGGAGGATCCTCGAGAGGATCATTGGGCTGCAGTAAAACGGCTGTTGCGCTATGTCAAGGGGACGGTGGATCAGGGCATCATTTTCCCCAAGACCGGCGACGGAAGTGAGCTGCGGCTCACGGTTTTTAGCAATGCAGACATGGCAGGCGACATAGATGGGCGGAAGAGCACCTCCGGTGTGCTCGTCTTCCTTGGATCGGCCCCAATCTCATGGCAGTCGCTGAAACAGAAGATTGTGGCGTTGTCTACGTGCGAGGCGGAGTACGTGGCGGCAGCCACAGCGGCGTGCCAGGCGGTCTGGCTGCGTCGGTTGCTGGGAGAGCTGACCGGCGAGGAAGCTAGTCCACCAGCTCTGATGGTGGACAACCAGCCCGCCATTGCCCTTGCAAAAAATCCAGTCCTCCATGACCGGAGCAAGCACATCGATACCCGTTTTCACTTCATCCGTGATTGTATCAATGAAGGACATATTGTTTTGGAGTTTGTCGAATCCGGACGGCAACTCGCAGACATCCTTACCAAGCCACTCGGCCGTCTTCGGTTCATGGAGCTAAGGACCAAGATTGGAATGGTGGGAAACAAGCAAGAACAGCAGGATTAAGGGAAGAATTGTAAGAAATATAATCTGATGTTTCCTTGTTGTTTCCTTGCAATTTCATTACACTTTCCTTGCAGCTGCAAAGCACTTTCATAGCAGCCATTTTAGGATGATTTTTAGGACTTTTCAACTTAAGTAATTTCTAGGAAAGTCACTAGATAGTTGTTTTTAGTTCTTATAAATAGGGGTGCAGTTTTTGTTTTGTAAACACACAGAAAAACTTAATATTCAATACATTGAGTTGTTCACAATCTTCTTCTTTCATTCTAAAAGTGTTCATTTGTGCCAAAAGCATTTTTGCTTACCTGAGCAGTGAACAAGCAGGGACTAACAATAATCATATTCTTCAAAAGGTTACTCACTTGAAAAAAAATATGTTTTTAGCAGTTTCTAGTAGTTCCTGTTAGGTTCCTCTTAAGCTTTTGTTTAGTTATTTGTGTCTGCAAACTAAATAAAAGATCCAGCTACCTGATCTTAGTAAATTATTAATTTGTCTGATTGCTTAAGATAAATCTGTTTGCGTCGCGCTAGCTTTTGTTTCTGTCTTTGTTGCATCTTCAGCCTGAAATTCTAGTAGTCTCACTTGTCAAGGAATATAACGAATTTCTGATCAGAGACTCTACCTTCATTTTACATGGTTCTCCAGCTCGTGCAGGTGTTTTTCTTCTGAATTGAAGGTCATGGTAAATGTTATGCAACATAAAGCTGGTGAAATTAAATATGCATCATGGATGTTGTTAGGTTTCCACTAGATCTGGTTGTATTGGAAATATGTTGTTTTCTTAGCAGAAATACAAGTGCTGAACATGGTTTTTATATTCTGCCAGGTTGCCAAGTGCTGAACAGGTTGGAGAATAATTCGCGTATGGTGAAGGGTGCGAAAATAATTGGGGAAGACAATGAAGCTTTGGCTGCTATTTTGCTACCACTGAAAAGGTTATCTGATGGATCTAAGAACTCCAGCAGGTAAATTAATTTCTGACTTTAGTTGTCCCTTTTATTTGTGATATTAAATTAATTAGTTCGCTGTGAACATCTAATAATTAGTATCTTTATTATACTTCAAAAGTTCTTAAGCAGAAATTTTCAAATAATGGGCAAGCTTTTCTGAAACCATAACTACCTTTTATTTGTAGGGATCAGGATGTTGTTACTTTGAACCAGTCGCTGAGAATTCTTTCAAACTTGATTGGTGCTGGTGCTATCACTTCAAGGGGAGTACTGGATGAGATAATTACTGGACTTCTTAGCTTTGCTTCTGCTATAGTTAGAATGGAAGTATCAGATGGAAATGACTTGATGGCAAAGGTAGATGAACATAGTCATTTATCATGAATATCCACCAATATGCCTAGAATTTCACGTCTGTTTTTACTTTCAGAGATGATATTTAGTTGAATAATGCACCTTATGAGCAAAGTACGTCCCCTAGTCCTCGTAGTGGAAGGATAACAGAAACTATTAAATTTTGAAGGAAATTTTAATTACCTCTCCTTTTCACCTCTCATTGCTTTGTTGGGGAAGTTCAATTGTTGTTCAAGCATGTGGTGGTCCTTGTGCATGGTCCTAAACATTTATGTATTCCTCTACAGGCCTTCTCAACTCTGAAAAGATTGTTTGATAACTATGGAGGTAGTTTTGGTGATCCGTATTTCAGGCATTGGGCTTCCATGGTTGCATTGTATTCACAGGTCAGTTTGAGACTATAGCATTCTGCAAGCAGGATTCACTCATATTGACTTGCTTTAAATTTCTCATAGTTGGAAAACCTCAGGTAGCAGGCTGTGGTGATGGGCTGTTGGGAAGAGTACTTTATGAGTATACTTCATGTGTTGCAGTCATTTTATCTCAAGTAGCACAGTCTCTTAGAGCATCGGCAGTCGCTTCAAACCCTGAGGCAGCTTCCACCCCATTTGTTGTTAATAAAATTGCTCAACAAATCTTGGACCACGCTAAGTCTTCAGGTGTAATAGAGTATTTGTGCTTGAGCTTGGAAACTTCAGGCTCGAGTCTCATATCAGGCTCCACAAGTTTGTTGCGAACTGCTTGTGAATCATGCAGAGCAATTTGGTCATTAGTTGATGCATTTGAACTTCTCTCTGTGAAAGGAAGTGCATTATTTCCACTTAACACTTTGAGGAGAAATTCTCCACTTAAACATGACATCAGGGACAATGATGAGCAACAATTACACAAAACAGATTCAAGAGAAATGGTTGAGGTGATCACAAATGCATTTCTCAAATCGAAATCCATTCAGGTTGCCATCTTTTTTTGTCTGCACCAACGCCATGAGATCAGTCTCTCTTCTGGACTGCAGGTTCTGATTTCTTATTAACATCTTTTTCTATTATGTACCATTTCTTGAATGCTGGAGTTTTGTCAAGTTACGTCCTACTTTGTGACAAGTTCATTTACTGAAAACTTGGAGTTTCTGTTTTCATCCATCTGCAGTTCTTCGTGTTCCTATTTTTTTATTCTTTTTGATGTACTGTACTGCAGCTTATTTTGAGGTGTTGCATGCATAGTGATGTTATAATGAATGTCCTCTGCGGGCTGCCAAGCAAACTACCTGTGAACACGGTTGTAAGTGGTGGTGGAGACGGCACAATAATATCAGAAATTTTCTCAATACTATCATTATGTGCTGCTTCAAATAAAGAGAACAACAATGCAGAATCTGACAACTCAAAAGTCAAATTCATGGACCCACGCACCTTGGTTATGCACTCGTCTCTTGTTCTTGCGACAGTAGCTCAGTGTCTGAAATCTTCGGGAAGAAACTCTGCATTGTTAATGTTGACAACATCTTCTAAAAAACAGTTTACTCGGCTCTCAGTACTTGCGCATCATTTCGGGTCGGATGAAAGAATCCAATCCTCATTGCATCCTTCATGTGCGGCCGCCATGCTGGCTCTTGCATCAATACTGTCCCTCGAGAAGGGAAGCTCGGTTGAAACCACCATTTCGGAGATGGCCCTTCCATTAATCCCACGCACCGTGTCTCTTTGTGACCATCTCAGAGGGCCAGCAACTGACGAGAATATCTTGAACCTTAGTGCACTGAAAGGGATGCTTCCGTGCAAATATGGCATAAGGGATGGAGCTATTGGGCTACTGGAGTCCAGGCTGAACTGGGGAGGGCCTCTTGCTGTGCAACAGTTATGTGCTAGTGGTGCTCCACAGCTTTTTATTGATTTACTATTGGCTAACAACATCAGAAATGCTTCACAAGACCAAATTGGGCTGTCGCCTGTTGGGGTTACGTGGACTATTTCTTCAATTTGTCAATGCCTTTCTGGTGGAGTCTCCACATTTCGTCAGATTTTGCTGAGGACAGAACACGTCAATTGCATTGCAGATTTGATATCCGAGGCTCATCTTAAACTTGTCCAGTCGTGGACTGGACCTGGGGGAGGCACATATGGGATGAGGGAGACCATAAATGCGTTGGTTGACCTTTTAGCATTTCCTTTTGTAGCTTTACAGAGTGTGCCAAATACGCTGTCCGCAAATGCTTCAGTGAACAGTGGAATCCTTCTGAATATAGGCTCTCCTGGTGGGAAGATCTGTGCTGAAGACAAAGACATGATGAGAGCTATACAGACGAGCATGAAAAAATATATTCAGATTCTTCTGGAGGTCAGTGACTGATATTTTTCACGGTTCTTAGTTATGAGATTTTATGTGGGCTGCATCTTTTATGGATTCCCTGTTGCTGTTCTTCACAGAATTAGAACGCAGAATATATATGTGTGTGTGTGTGTGTGTGTGTGTGTGGACAGATAACAGCCCAAATAGGAATATGAATACTATGAAATGAGATGGAGCTACCTAAATCCTTAAATTGGATTGCATTTCGGTGCAGATATCATCTAATGTATGTAAAATGGGGTATGCAGTGACAGTGTGTACAAATTTTGTTAGTGTTTCTCCTGAATTTGACAAAATACTACATATTATCATCTAATGTATATAGTATGGGGTATGCAGTAAGAAGTGTGCACAAATTTTGTTAGTGTTTCTCCTGAATTTGACAAAATACTACATGTTATTTTAGCGCAAGCATCAGTTGATGCACAGGATGACTAGAACTTTAACAGAGGAACTTCAACTTTGTTTTCCTTGGACGAATAACTAAAATGAAATATATATATGTTCAGTAGAGAGGTTGCATATTTAGCTATAATTTATTAAATGAAGTTGCTGGGGTATTCATAGGTTGATGTGCCAGCAACCATCCTCCATTGTTTGGACCATTTAGAGTTGATAGATCTTGCTCGGCCAGTTGCATTAATTGCCAAACTTTCTAATCAACAACCACTTGCTGCTCAACTGGTTACCAAAGGCTTGTTGGAATCAACCAGAGCAAAAAGGTTTTTGAATAGCCCTTGCCCTAGGGAAGTCACCTTGGATTTTCTTATGATTGTATCAGATCTGGCTCGAATGGATAAGGTATTCTCCCATGATCTCTTTTACTTGAACTGTTAGCTGTTTATATATTATACTGGTTATAAAATACTCCTGTCCGTAACTTCTCATTTGTTTGAGCTGTGCTCTGTCCGAGATATCACAAAGACAAGATCTGGAAAAAAATTGATAGCTGTTGTAGCTCATTTTTATTGCGAGGCACGAAAAGAATACATTGACCCGGAAATGACTGATTATGGGCCTGTTATGGGGATTTCCGTAAAATCAATAACATCTCATTTGAGGTTAAAAAGAATAACCTTCTGCATTTCTAGAGATGTTTATTATTCCATCTATATAGATATTACATGAGATCAATTATTAGTTATCTGATTGTGAATCCTTATGGAGACACTTCCCTTTGAATTTTATGCACCATGGTTGTTTTTTATTGTTCAAACAGAGTCTCTGTTATCTTGTTTCTTCTCCTGAACTCTGCTCATTAGGGAACCACGGCTTTATTTTTACTACAACCATTATTCTTAAGATGCACATTTTTCTAATGATCTCTTGTTTCTACTATGAATATATGTGCAGCTATTTTATGAATACATTGCTGCAGCTGACATCTTGGAGGATCTCAGCAAGTTCCTCACTCATGAAGATCCCAATTTGCGTGCCAAGACCTGCAGTGCTATTGGGAACATGTGCCGCCACAGCTCCTATTTCTATAATTTACTGGTATAGACTCGTGATGGAAGGAGATATTCTTTAGTTGATCTCAATTTTATTAATTTCACTTTAGTCCTGGATTGAGATTTTTTCTGAAAAAGGAAGAAGATAAAGACTACTAAAGTTTGCAGTTTCATTTTCTGATCAACATTCTTCTAGTGACTTACCAGTTCTATTTCAATTCTTCAGGCAAAACACCATATCATTGGTTCCCTTATTGACCGATGTGCTGATCCTGACAAACGTACTAGGAAATTTGCTTGTTTTGCAGTAAGTTCTTTTTCCTATACTACATAGTACACTTCGAGTGACTATTTCCTCTAGGTACTGTCAAGAGCATCGGTTTTTGTCTCAAAGTCGATTGTTCATGACAAAACAACCTTGGAGCAGATGAGATAATGAATATTTATATCTGCGAGCAGGTTGGGAATGCTGCATATCATAATGACTCATTGTATGACGAACTGAGAAGGGTCATCCCTCAGCTCAAAGTCTTGCTGATGTCGGATGAGGAAGACAAAACTAAAGCCAATGCTGCCGGTGCTCTTAGTAACATGGTCCGCAACTCTGACCGGCTTTGTGACGACATAGTTTCCAAAGGAGCCATTCAGGTTTTCCTACATTTCTCATGCTAATTCCGATTTTTGGAATTTGTTATTGTTACATCTTTCTATCCTTCTGCATTCCCTTAAAGGGAGAAAAATGAAAATGAAGTATAATTTGACGACATTTCGAATTTAATTTTTATTTTTTTCCCTTTCGCTTGTGTGATAAACATCATTGACTGAACTGTTGCATAATATTACAACTTCTGATTTTTTTTTTTTTTTTTTTTTTTTTTTTTTTTTTTTTTGAGATATAACGTACCAACTATCATTTCCTTCCAACCGAATTTTGTCGGCATTCTGTTGAAGTTATATCTAAATAACATAATGCTGAAGGAGATATACCAGATAAATATTTGGTTTAAAAGAGAAAAAGATGTCTTTTGTGGGTGATATTTTCAGGCATTGCTAAAGGTGGTGGCAGATTGTTCAACAGCTGCACTGAACCCACGTAGAGACGCCATGAACGAGTCACCTCTGAAGATTGCTTTGTTCTCATTGGTGAAGATGTGTGCTCATCCACAATGCAGGCACTTCATTCGCTCGTCTGAGCTATTCCCTCTAATCGCACGGCTGAGGCAGTCGCCTGAACCCACAATAGCCAATTACGCGACCGTTATCACCACTAAAGCTTCAGAATCTTGAAGCCTCTATACGGTAAATATATGTCAGTTTTTGATGGTGGAAATGTGTGATTATTGTACCCATCTGTGTATTTTTATTGGTTAAAGCATGAATTGTTAACACAATTTATTTTAATTTTCTTAAAGTTGAGATGAAGCGATTCATTCATTCGATTTCAGCAAATATATTTGAAAATCCAAATTCAAAGTTAATAATCGTTCAGCCCATCCGGTGCGATTGGATATACTTTCATATGAGTGAAAAAATTTGGTTGGTGAAAGAAAGATAGTGGAATAATTCAAAAAAATTTCTTGTGTCAAGTGACTTAATGTAAAGAGATACAAATCGTGGTGAAGTAGGGATATAGTAAAATAATAATTGATGATTATAAATACACTAGTACTAATACCCATGTAAAAATGGGTGTTGAGTTAATAAATATATATGTAAAGTTATTTATATCTAATACCAAACTTAATTCCAGAGAAAAAATAATATAAAAAACAACATCACGAAGCATAGATTTTCGCCATGTCAGCATCCGGAGTGTGAAAATTCGCCACCTAAGGTCAACACGTTTTGAAATAATATAGGGAGGGATGAACATAAACATTAACAGATGAATTTATAGTAATGATTGTATTTTAATTGAAATCGTAGTGAAAGTGTTTTTTTTTTTCGAAACGGATAAATATTAATAAAAACGGAAATGTACAACCGGGCAACCAACTAATTACTCATTAATTCCCTATCAACTAGGAACTTAACTACGAGAAAGCCATACTAGCCCTCCCTAACAAGCCAACATGGCTAACATTAAGACATACTGATTGAATCAAACCGAAACAAATAAGAAAAAAGAGTCTTTTTTTTTTTCCAATAAAGATCAATATATATAAAACTCAAACCAAATTGTTCAAACCGGACATCAACTGACATACAAACCAACCTACCTAGAAAGCTAGATAAGCAAGGAACGAGCTTATGCACATGATAAGCCCTAAAAAATTACCAAGGGTTACAAAAGTCATAAAGTCAAATGAAAGCAGTAAAATTACAGTACTCAAAGCTCTGATAGAGCTGCATTATATCATTAAAGACCCCAAACAAGGCAGATGGTAAGTTTTTGATCATTTTCAGTTGCAGTAGAGTTTCTTCATCTGAAATGCTGCACTCTATGTTTTTTCATTTCCTCTTTGTTGCTCCATCCAAAGCACCTCTCACTGCCAGCATCAATGCCACTTGGGGATCTTCCACTCCATTTTCTTCATCTTGCCAGCTATCCACTACATTTCCATCTGAACTTGCACTGCACAACCATTCCACCTTTCCATTTGAAAGACATAAGGCACTGACTTCTAACAGTACAAGTCCTACCTTCTTGGAAAAATGTCTTTTTCTGTACTCAGTGTATGGTTACAACAACAATTGTTTTGGCCTTCAAGAAATGGTTGTGTTAGTTCCAGCCAGTCTTTTCTAGCCCCTGCTACCACTCTCTCATCCCTGAAATTATCTCCTCTGAAAATCTTGTTGTTTCTTGCTTTCCGTATCCTCCATAACAAACACATAGACAACAAGACCCTATCCTTAATCTTTTTGAATTGAGCACTAGCACAAATATCCTCCCACCAATCAGTAATAGTCATTTGCTTCTCCTCCCAGGCTGTCCACTCAATACCAATTAGCTTCCAACACAGTTTGGCATATCTACATTTATAGAACATGTGTTCTATATCTTCTTGATCTTCTCCACAGGTTGTGCATATTAGATCCACATTAATCCCCCTCTTTGCCAGTTGAACTTTAGTCCCAAGGAAACCATGGTAAACTCTCCAGAAAAAGTTTTTAACTTTAGGATGCAATGGCAACTTCCATGTTCTTCTCCGCATTTTCCTAACCATGTGCTCTCTGTTGCTTGATTGGCCTTTAATGTGTAATTCTGTCTTATGATGTAGGATGCTCTCATACACAGAATTAACAGAAAAGGTTCCTCTAGAACCAAAGTGCCAGACAAATCTATCTTTCTTTTGTAGTAGATTGACTTAGATCATCAAAATGGCCTTAGCTTCAAAAAGACTAAAACTCTGATAAATGAGTTCTTTGTCCCATGTTTTACCATCAACAAGAAGCAGATCACTCACCTTATGCAGTCTTTCCCTATCCCCCTCAAAAAAGACAACAGGTTTAAAATTGGGGATATTAGGAACCCAAGGTGACTTCCAAATGTCAATAGAAGATCCATCTCCAACCTGGTATCTAACCCCCCTCACCAGACTCTCTCTAGCATCTAACCAACCCTTCTAAAGCCAAGAATCTCCCTGTTTTTTCCTCACCTCAAATAGATTAGATTTGAACAAATACCTGCCTTTTAAAAATTTGCTGAGTAAAGAGTTAGGTTGGGTTAGAATTCTCCACAATTGCTTAACAATCAGAGCCTCATTTAGCACTCTCATGTCCTTGAATCCCATTCCCCCTTTATCTTTAATAGCAGCTAATCTATCCCAAGAAGCCCAATGAAGTTTATCAGAACCCTGCTCATTCTTACCCCACCAAAAAGAAGCCACAATCTTGCATATATCATTGGAAATTGGAAACTGGGAGTTTATAGCAAGCCATGACATATACTGGAAAGGCATTCAGCACAGTTTTAATCAAGATTTCTCTTCCAGCTTCACTTAAGAAATTGTTTTTCCAATTTAGAATTCTCTGAGACACTCTATCACTCACAAATTTAAATGTATCCCTTTTGGAATTACCCAGTCTTAGAGGAAGGCCCAAATGCTTGGCAGCAGAAACACATGATAGATTATCTAAAATAGCACAAATAGCAGACCTGTTTTGAGGATTAGTGTTCTTGGAAAAGAAGATTGCAGATTATGAAGGTTGACCTTTTGGCCAGAAACAGACTCATACAAAGACAAAATATCTCTGAGGAAACCAGCTTGTCTCTCAGAAGCCTGACCAAAGATGATCACATCATCTGCAAAAAACAAGTGACTAAGAGGAGGGCAGTGTTTACTAATTTTCATACCCTAAAATTCCCCTCTTCTACCAGACTGAGCAATAAGGTTGAACAAAGCTTCTGAGAATAAAATGAAAAGATAGGGGGACAGTGGGTCCCCCTGTCTTAACCCTCTAGAAGGATAGACAGCCCCCATGACCTGACCATGAATATTAAAAGAAAAAAAAGTGCTACTGACACATGCCATAATCCAAGCAATGAATTTATCACAAAAACCCATGGTCTGACACACTTTGGCCAAAAAAGACCACTCTACTCTATCATACGCTTTGGACATGTCAAGTTTAACAGCCATAAATCACTTATTCCCTTTTCTTTTACTATTAAGAAAATGAATGCACTCAGAGGCCATAACCACATTATCAAGGATTTGTCTATTGGGTACAAAATCAGTTTGGGTGGCTGAAATGCAATTAGAAAGAAGAGGTTTTAATCTGTTAGCAATAATCTTAGCAATGATTCTATAGGTAACTGTACATAGGCTAATAGGTCTAAAATCTTAGGTGGAGCAAGCATTTTTCTTTTTAGGGATGAGTGTTATTACTGTGTGATTGGTATCCCTAGGAATTTTACCAGCATCAAAGAAATTAGCAATGGCTTTGCAAACATCAATTTTAATATCAGGCCAAGAGGTTTGGAAAAAGCTAGGTGACATACCATCAATACCAGGTGCCTTGTTGGGATCCATACTCATGACTGCTTCAGTAATTTCCTCCTCTGTTACTGCCTTCACCAACTGCTCATTCATATCTGGGGTTATGGTAGCTGGCATTCCTTGCAGTTCATTGTGGTGCATTTTTGGCTCTGAGGATGTAATAGATTTTGGAAGTATGCTTGAATCTCTTTGCAGATCTCTTAAAAATCAAAATATCATGCATTAATGGTTCTAATAAAGAAGAAGCCCAAATTGAGAACTCAACAAAGATACAATAGGTTTATCATTAACAAAGCACACAAGATCAAATCCTTCCTCCATAGCATTTGCTCCAAATAATGTCTCACCTCAATTAGAGCAGCCTCCTTCTTTGTCTCCACTTGCACTGTCAATCCATGCCAAGTCCTCAGCAGCTTCCCATCCTTTTGCATGTATCAAAAAAAAAAA